TATCCTTTTTTTCTTTATCCTTTTTTCGTTAGCGGTTCAAAACTCCTTATCTTTCTCATTCACTACTCTTTATACAATGAGCGTAAAATCACATGTGATATATATGATACATGTACAAATGAACATCTTTGAGCAAGGAATCCCCATTTGACTGATTCACGATCGATATTTTTATTCATACTAAAACTTACAAAGTTGTTCTTTTAACAAATTATAGGCCCGTGATGAGTCTTTGTAATACCCTTTCAATTGACATAGACCCAAGTTCTCTAGTAAAATGAAAATGAGTATGAGACATGAGGAATAGTTGGGATAACTCAGTTGGTAGAGCAGAGGACTGAAAATCCTCGTGTCACCAGTTCAAATCTGGTTCTTGACACATGATTAATTTGTATGAGTCTCTATTCTACCAATTAATTGATATGAGCAATTAATTGATACGAATACATATTCATTAAGAGTCTAGATAATAATACATATTCTCCAGTTCAAAGGGGGTAAAGAGTTTATTATACAAAGTATGTAAAAAAAAGGGAGATTCTATTTTCTCTTCTTTTTTATTTCTTCTCTGGTTCAAAAAGAAAAGAATGTGAATACTTCATACACATATGCATATTCGAAGGTTAAGGTTGAAAGATTCAATAGAGTAGTTGAAGGATGTGAATAAATAAGATTCAGTTTTGTATTTTTCCATTTTTAATTAACTCCTACATTACATGACTTTATAGATTCCCCTTAAGTGATGTGTGCAGTCCAAAGTTGATGATGCATAATTCGTTTGGTTCCTCCTATCAACTTGGCTCATCCGAAATAAGTATTTTACAAATTTGAGAATCCCGATTAATTCCAAATTTTATTTTATTGTACTTACTTAAAAACCAATAAACCGCATTTTCAAGAAATAATATCTTCTACCAAGACATTCACCGAGGAAGCAGAAGCCATTTAGAAAGTAGCTACTAAGGAACAGAGGGAACGTTTTATACTTCAGGAACAAGCTGTCTAAACAAATTGATCACCCTTTTCAATAATTTTTTAAATAAAATAAAAAGGGTACTCAAGCGTTTCGGAGTCAAATCATTCAAAATTTATACCAAAGGTTTAGAAGACCTCTGTCCTATCCATTAGACAATGGACGCTTTTTATTGCGATTTTTTAGTAGTTTTACTTTCTGATCTTTTTTTTGAAAAAATACGAATCTAATATAGTAGGATTTTTGTAAGAAAATTCTTTGAATTGTATATTCAATGATGAATGATGTATTAATTAGAGTCTATTAGAGTATTTAATAATATATAAATATAGTAAGATAATAGAATTAATCTATAAGTAGAGGCTATAGAGCGGGTAGCGGGAATCGAACCCCCGCATCGTTAGCTTGGAAGGCTCGGGGTTATAGTCGACGTCGATTCATCATTTTTAACGTCTCTAATTCAAAACCGAACATGAAACTTTGGTTTCATTCGACTCCTTTATGGAAAAATGGATAAATTGCTAGATTTCAGATGTGAACCAACTTACACAAAAAAAATGATACCCATAACATCTATGTCAGCTTTTTGTTTGAATATATTCAATTCAAAACGACTCGCTTTATAGATGATCCCTCTAGAAGAAGGCAATTCTAACAATCTTTCTAGTTACTTCGTTCTATATTTCTATTTGAGAGGGTCCTAAGGAAAATGATTTTATTTCCACCGAGCTAAAATAATATGTCGATGTCTCTAGTAAACTAAAGATATTCTTTAATAGCTATTTTGCTTCAATTTATTCGCTACAAATGTAAACAAAAATTGAAGATTTAGTTACGATTAGAAATTAGAAATCTACTTTTCTATCTTCATCCATGGATTCTTTATTCATACTCATTCAATTGGAAGTATTGATCCAATTTTAAAATTTTGTTTCTCAATTTTATAATCCAAGTTTTCATTTTTTAATTGACCTTTGGATAAAAATCCCGAAAATTTATATTTTTCCTTGAATGTGTCATTTGTGTATTGATTATAGAAAGCTGAATTCAAGCACACGGAAAGATCACTTCCCCCTTCCTTTCATTGACCAAATGCTCGAGAGATTGGCGGGCAAATCTCATTATTGTTGCCTTGATGGATACTCGGGTTTTCATCAAATATTTGTTGCCCCCGAAGATCAAGACATGACGACTTTTACATGCCCTTTTGGCACATTTTTCTACAAACGGATGCCATTTGGATTATGCAATGCCCCCATCACATTCCAACGATGCATGGTGAGCATCTTCTCCGAGTATGTTGAGAATATAATTGAAGTGTTCATGGACGACTTCACCATATATAGCAATTCGTTTGATGAATGCTTGGATAACCTTAAGAAGATTTTGAAAAGATGCATTGAGAAGAAGTTGGTATTAAAGTTTGAGAAGTGTCACTTCATGGTCAATCAAGGCATCATCTTGGGACACATCGTCTGCAAAAAGGGAATTGAAGTTGATAAAGCCAAAATTGATGTCATACAAACCCTTCCTTATCCAACATGTGTTAGAAAAGTGAGATCTTTCTTGGGCCATATGGGATTCTATAGGAGATTTATCAAAGATTTCTCGAAGATCACGAGACCGATGTGCCTCCTTCTCCAAAAAGATGTTGACTTTGACTTCAATATAGCATGTCAAGAAGCCTTTGACAAGCTTAAAGACCTACTCACATCCGCTCCCATTATCCAACCTCCAAATTAGGAGCTTCCCTTTGAAATCATGTGCGATGCAAGCAATTTTTCCATTAGAGCGGTTTTAGGTGAAAAGGAGGGCAAAACATCACATGTTATCTACTATGCCTCCAAAATCTTGGATAATGCTCAAGCCAATTATTCTACCACCGAGAAGGAACTTCTATCCATTGTCTTCGTATTGGAGAAATTTCGACAATACCTTCTCGGGTCAAAAGTGATTGTATATTCCGACCATGCGGCCTTGAAGTATCTAATGACGAAGAAAGATGCCAAGCCACAGTTAATTCGGTGGATTCTTCTTTTACAGAAGTTCGATCTTGAGATAAAGGACAAAAGTGGTGCCGAAAACCTAGTTGCCGATCACTTAAGTCGTTTGAATATTGGTGGCTCCTCTTTATCCATCCTTGATGAATTTCCGAATGAACACCTCTTCTATCTTTCAAACTCCATTCCATGGTATGCGAATATCGTCAATTACTTGGTTACTAAAGAAATTCCCCACACATTTACTAAGTACCAAAATGCCAAGTTGAAGAGTGATTCCAAATACTACGTGTGGGACGACCCTTATCTTTGGAAACATTGTCTGGATCAAATAATACGACGGTGTGTTCATCAAAATGAGGTCGAATCACTCTTGAAGTTTTTCCATGAGTATGCATGCGGAGGCCATTTTGGTCAAAACAAAACCATGCGGAAGGTGCTAGAATGTGTACTCTATTGGTCAACAATGTCTAGAGTTACCTATCTATTTTGCAAGAGTTGTGATAGATGTCAAAGAACGGGAACCGTATCCATGAAGCACGAAATGATTCAAAACCCTATCCTCATTTGTGAGATATTTGATGTATGGGGAATCGATTTCATGGGCCCATTCCCCGTCACTTTCGGTTATACTTATATACTCTTGGCGGTTGATTATGTCTCAAAGTGGGTGGAAGCAAAAGCTACAAGGCATGATGATTCTAAAACCGTAATTCATTTCTTGAAGTCAATTATTTTTGCAAGATATGGTGTACCAAGAGCCTTGGTGAGTGATAGGGGCACTCATTTTTGCAACAAAATGATGGAAGCCATGATGAAGAGGTATGGTGTCACACACCAGATATCGACCACCTACCATCAACAAACAAATGGCCAAGCCGAAGTGTGAAATAGAGAAGTCAAGCAAATTATTGAAAAGACGGTCAGCACTACACGAAAAGATTGGAGCTTGAAGTTTGAAGATGCATTGTGGGCGTATCGGACCGCCTACAAAACTCCAATTAGCATGTCTCCATTCCGCCTCGTCTATGGAAAGTCTTGTCATTTACCAGTGGAATTGGAACACAAGGCATATTGGGCGGTTAAAAAGTGTAATTTCAATATTAAAGAAACCGGGAAGCACATAAAGATGCAACTTCAAGAAATCGAAGAGTTAAGGAACGAGTCTTATTAAAATGCAAGCATCTACAAAGACAATACAAAAGCATTCTGTGACAAGCACATCACTCGAAAGCATTTTATTCCGGTCCAAAAAGTTCTTCTTTATCATTCACGGTTAAAGATATTCCCGGGAAAATTGCGATCTCGATGGCACGAACCTTTTATTGTTATAAAAGTGTTTGATCATGGTGCGGTTGAAATTAAGAGTTTGGAAACTAATCAAATATTCAAAGTGAATGCGAACCGTTTGAAACCATTTTATGAAGGCTTTGACACAGGAGAATTCGACAACGTAACATTAGAAACTCCGATTTACGAAGGTTTACGAAAGCGAGGTTATGTCTTGGCAAATACGTGAAATAAATGCATTGTAAATAAATAATATCCGCTTGAATTTTTGATGTTTCTAGGCTTGAAGTTTGTCAAAAATAAGCATCTTGAGGTTTAGCAATGATCTTGGTAACGTATGTAAAAAGTGTCAAAAATCTGCAATTTGTGCGGGTACCCGCGCAAACGTTGCGCGACCCAGCCCCAGTCGCGCAAATCCGAGCTCAAAAATTACCCCAACATGGGATGTATTCTGATGTGTGCGCGCGGTTGCTCCCCTACCCGCGCATGTTCTGCGCGACCTGATACCCACCCTCGTAACCTTTGCGCGGCCTAATACCTACCCTCACATACTCTTGCGCGGCTAAGAACAAAAAGCTATTCCGTTTTTGCGCGACCTGCCAGGCTTATAACATCCACCCATCTCCAAACCCATTCGGCCCATACCCGATCCGACCCACACCCGATCTAACCTAAAGGCCTGCCCGGACCCGCTTCAACTTACCCGCTCCAATCCTGCTTTCAAACCCGACCCAACCTTATAACCCCTTAACCCGACGCACCAAACCTTCCCCCCTTGTAACTCCCGTCCACAGCGAACACAACAGCCAGTCGCCCACCTTCTGCTGCCGCCGAAGAAGACCACCCTGCCACCACCGATGCCGCCTGCTTCCGCCTCCAGTCATCGCTACCTCGCCATCACCTGCTGCCGTCCCTTTCCCTATCCTCTTTCCTCTCCAGCCGACGACCGACGTAGCGCACCTATTCTCGCCATTCCCCTTCATCCCCGGAAATCGCACATCCACCAGCTCTCCTCCTCTCCTACTTCCACCGGCGCCTCCCGTCCACCCTAACCCCAACGAATTCCGACCACCCGCACCATTTTACCACCGGTAAACAGCAATTCCGCCACCACCTCTCTAACTCGCTCGAAAAATCGAAAAAAGCCTCATTCTGCCACCACCTTCCATCAAAATTCAAAATTTCTTGGGGCATTCTTCTCTAAATACTTCTGAGACACCGATCTACAGTCAATTTGGGAAAATTACCTCACCGGAAAAGCTAGCTCCGCCGCCGGCCGCCGCCCCTCATTTTGACAAAAAAAAATTCAAAATTTTTGTTTCGCACCGGAGATTCAAAAGACTCAACCTTGCGGGTCCAATTCAGGCTTGTGGTTTGGTTTTAGCATTTTTCATTTCGGGTTTCAACACTCGAATTTGGTATATTACTTTTAATTTTCTTGCATTCAATTTCAAATTTTGATAGACTTATGCCATGCATTAGGGTGCTTATAGTTGAACTGCTTTGAATTGATTGGATTACATTACCTTGAATTGTGCCAAATTGCAAGTTTGGAGTGTTTGCCCGGCTTATATTTATATTTATATTTTTATTTGGATTGATTGGATTGGTGTGAGGCGAGTGTGAGGGATAATCTTGGTCAAGTTTTTGTCTTTGCTAGGTTCTATTAACAGGTATAATGGGAAAGAACAAAACCATTCACGCGTCTCATGGTTCTTCCCGCGAAGCTGAATCGTTACGATTATCCAAAAAAGTATCAACTGAGCATGTCGATCGTGATGGTAACCTTGTCCTTACTAGGGCACAAATCAAGCAATTCAAGTCAAACCTCCAAAAACGTGCAGTCCGAGCCACCAAATTTTACCACCGGGAATCCATGATCAACCTTGGCCTTGACGATTGCTTGCAACAGATGTTCCTCAACATGGGTTGGCATGATTACCTAGCTCTTTCCGCGTGCACATACAAGCAACCCACACTCGAGTTCCTCTCCACTTATGCACGGGATGACATGGAGGGGGTGCTCATATTTAGACTCCAGGGTCGGCAGCACCGACTTACATATGACACCCTCAACACTATCATGGGCACATACGATAGCCAAAATACCGACATCTATAGTTATCAATGGACTCAATTCAAGAGCTTGCCCAAAGTAGAGTTTTGGACTCAGATCACCAGTCTTCCAAACTTCAATCCAAGTCGATAAAAAGATCGTTACATCATCCATCCTTGTTGGAGAATCGCCCACCGGATTCTTTCAGCTTCCATCTTTGGTTGTCATGAGCCGGGACAAATAAACACAGTCGAGCTATATTTCCTCTATTGCATGTCTAGCCACCGTTGGTCTTGCCCCGGTTTCGCTACTTTTTTCTTAGATAAATGTGACAGCATACGCATGAAGTCCACTGGAGACATTTGCATTGGAGGTCTCATTACCCTAATTGGTTTGGGTGTGGGCCTTCAATTTCCAGAGTTTGAGTATGTGTCAGTGGATGACCTGCCTATCTACCTCCTTGACTGCGTAGCTCTCACTCGGATGGAATTATTGCTACCTACCAGCAATAGCCATTACTCTTGTCTCAATCATGCCAAGGAATCCGTCTACATCTTACCTCACTCCAGCATTTCAGCCTTTACCACCAGGGACCCTGAAACTTGGTTCTTTCCTGGATAGTTATGTGATGATGATGATGCTGGTAATGATGATGACATGCAGGTAGATGCTGCCAATGCTGATAGCCTATTTGAGGTCGAAGACCATTATGACCTCCCAATCCGACAACTGCCACCACCCTTTCACGATTAGCCTTCAGGAGCACACTTCGAGCCAGAACATGAGTACCAGTCCTATCAACAACACAACAAGCCGGGACCCGAGTTTCCTCTTGATATATAAACCCGGCTTGTTACCTTGCGTTGTTAGGGAAAACGGAATGAAGCAGCCATTCGATGCATCGAGGAGCAGCAAGATCGTGCCAACAGCTACATGGAGGATCTTTGGCATCATTTTCAGCCCGAAGGCGGTTACTGTCCTTGCGGGCCTTCTCCACCTTGATCTCGGTACGATCCTTCCTTACTCTCATCCTAAGCATTGATGACAATGCTTCATTTTAAGCTTGGGGTGAGGTATTCTTATATTTTTTTTATTGCATTTAGGTTGTATATAGTTGCATTTAGAGTAAGTCATTTAGGTCATTCATAAAAAATTGCATAAAAAAATTCAAAAATATTGCATATTTTGTTTCCTTCTTTTCTAATTTTCATACTTTTTAGATGCATTCTAGTTTAAGTTCATGCATTTTTGTTCTCTTTTGTCTTCTCATCCCTACAGGTACCATAGCGCCGAGTCATAAGTATTGAATCATATATTGGTCCCGGGTCTTGATATGGAATTCTTTGTATTGGACAAATGGGACAAGTTTTGAGCCTCACAGACCACTTTGAGACCGCTTGTGTGGGGGTCAGATGCAGGTAGCTTGATTGGGTCTAGTTGCGGAGGGATGTGGTTGGTCAAACCGATGTGTGCAAGCAAAGATTAACCCAATAAGGTATTTCGAAGACACTGAAGACTCGTATCTTGGTTTTGGGAGGAATACCCCTTAGTACTCCCGAGTCTCGTCCGATCCTTACTTAGATTCTCACCACCTTTTAAGTGTAGGTCATCATTTTTCTATGGGTCTAGAGTAGATCGTTAGATAGATTTTGTTTATCACACCTTGCATTGAGGTGCTTGATGAACTTTGTAGTGGGTCCCCCAATTCACATCTTTTGGGACCAAGTTTTTTCGGTAACACCCATTTTTGAGTCATTCCCCACCCTTTTTAGTAGATCTTGACACATTGTCAATGATCATTAGGTGTTCATGTTAGCCTCTATCTATTACTCCATTTTCACTATTGGAGTCCTATGTTACATGGTGAAATTCCTTAGACCTTCCAAGAAGAAACACAAAAAAATGAAGAAATTGGAAAACCGAAGACAATAAGAGAGAAATAAGAAGACAGAAGATCGAGCAACAAGGAGACTGAAAACCAAATAACAGAAGTTCAAGATTGAAGATTTAAGTTGTTAGGTTTAGATTTAGGTTAAGTAGAATTTTTATTATTTTATTTTATTTTTGATTTTTGGTGAGAAAAGGCAATGAAGATGAGACGGTAGAATGTAAAGGATAGTACAAGGGAGAAGCCCTTGAAGCCGGATGTTTGCCCGGAGGCCGTGCATCAAAACCTTATTTCATTACTATAAAATTTAGTCTGAAAAATGTAGGAATCATCGTGTGTGAAGAGGCGCCTTTCCTTCATGCATTATGGTCTGCATTGCTGATTTAAAGTGCCCCCGTTAGGCACATCCTTTGTTTCCTTTCTCTTGCACACCACGACTATATCCAGACATGATCTATTCGCCCTTCAAGTGGTTCGAGAATGTGGTTTATGGCTCTAAATCGGGGAACATTTTGAAGATGCGTAGGGTCCATGAAAGACTGATTCTGACCATGTTGATTGATGTTGACCAAGTTCTATGATATCTTTCTTTTTCCATTTTTAGTTTAGCTCATCCCGAGCTCATTTTAGTCTTGTTCTAACTTGAGGAAAAGTTAGGTTTAAGCTTGGGATGATTTGATAGTTTATTTTATTTCCTTTTTTTTATTAGTTTATCTTAGAATTTTTAGGTCTTTTTGTTGGTATTTCATTGTATATTCATTATTTTCTTTATCATGGATCGTGTCGGGTACTTTCTATTTTGCATGGGATATTTTGCAGGGTTTTGGAGCTCGTTGCGGTTGCGGTTTGACTGGAGTTGGACTTGGTGGGACTTTCGATGCATTATTGGGATTTACGGATCCATCAAAGGAGATTTGGGCTTAAAAACTTGATGACTTGGTTGAAGTGGGCTTGTGAATACGGGTCATGGATTCGTATTTTGGGCTTGGACTATCAAGATTTAAAGCTTGAAGATGATTGGTCAAATTTGAATCATGTGAGGCATGAAGGGGACCAAGGGAATCTTGGGTAATGGAGTGGTGTAGTGGAGAAAAATGGGCCAATAGCATTCTAGCAACACTTGCGATGGTGGAGTCTCAGTCGCGCAACACTTGCGCGGGTACCCGCGCAACTGCATATTTTTGGGCATTTTGGTCATTTTGCTCACCATTTACCTTAGGGGTTGGATCTTTCAGCAAACACTTCGATTTTCCACCATTCGAGACCATTAGAGGCGATTTTTGGAGCTTGATACACACTATTCTCATCTTTCTAAGTAATTGGTAGATTCTTGATGCAAAAACACTTTTGATCGTTATTTTGTTGCCATGAGTGGCTAGTTTCTCTATTTTGGTTAACTATGGCTAAAACCCTTGGATATTTGTGGGTTTTTGAAGGATTCATGCTTAATTGTCATTTATATTATGTTTATGACTCTAGTTCATATTTCTTATGCTTGTTTAATACTTTGATCATGAGCTTGGTACTTGAATGAGCAATTGTTGGTTTATTTCTTTGGTTTAGCATTGAATCATTGAATTTACTTAGAACAAGGGCTTTATGATGGTATAAATCATCTCTAGCTATGAATCATGACTCCTTTATGGGTGTGTATGAAGGGTTTTGAGCATTCTAACACTCCTATGGTGTACATGCAACCCTAGATGCTTTGGATCTATGTTTTCTCTGTTATACATGCATACATTGAATATTCCAAAGCATCATCCTAAGTAGTATACAATGGAGTATAAACAACATGAAATACAAGTCAGATGACATACCTTTTAGTGTAGTTGAAACCTTGGACCTTTAAGAACTTAGTGCCCCAAGTGTTGCACCTCAAATGGTATCACACAACACCACCAACAAATGGAGGAACTTGAGAAGATGTCACTTGCACTCATAAAATCGGCTTTCCCTCTTGTGTTTCCACTAGTGCAAATTTCATGAGCTAGAGGGGTTGTTATATAGTGTGGCTTGATTAGGGTTACACCATACAAACCCTAATGTGCATGACTTTCCATATTCCTCATGCTCCATGGGTTTAAACCTCCATGGATCATCCATGGGTCACCACATGGGTTTAGCCCAACATAAGGAACTACGGATCACAAGCCCACATTATAAGAATGAATGATTTACATAATCAATCCCTATATATTTAATTAGTCTCTTTTTATCACAAAATTAGTTCCAAACTAATTCTTGACCAATACTAATTAAATAATATGATTTTGTATTAATATATTAGAACTTATAATATATTAATAAATCATAAATAACCTCTTCTCAATCATCCATCCTTCACATTGTTTCGGTGCCATGCAACCCAAATGGACCATGCTACTCTCGGGTCAAGTACATACCAATAATAGTTATGGGCTTAGACATCTAATCCAACAGTCCCCCACTTGGATAAGTCAAATAACTATTATTGCAAGCATGACTCCAACCCGACCAGCAATCGTAGCTCTTAAAAGCCGCTGTCGAACTCTGACCTAGTCAATGACGCGTCCATTAGATAAGAGATCATTTATTCCTCCATTCTAGATATCATATGGACTGAGACATGGATTTTAATCATTCTCTCTGTCCATCAGTTGTTTCCCGATTTCCGATTTATGATGACTGACTAATTCAACAAATCAAACCAGTCCATGCTTGGCCAAGCACTTAGGGGTGTCATCACTAAATCATCGAGGGGCCCAAAGATATCGCTTTTATCTACGTGTGGTAAAAGGAACGGATAAACTTCGACCCAAATGCTCGCTTGTACTTACTCATCAAATTACACACAACGATATGTTTTCTAACACCAAGTTACTGGTGCGTTTACATATGTCAATGTACAACCGACTCGCAACTACAACTCACACGTCTCCGTTTCAAGAATATAAGATAGTATCGTCTCACAATCACTCGTGATAAAATCCATGAAGTAATTCAGATGAGCGTGGGTTGAATCCAATACTCGAATCTTATTCCAGGAGCACTCATGAACACTACAGCTATGTCCTAGACAAACTACAGACCCATTCACGATACTCTTGCCTCAATACCCACTTCCAAAGTATGATTGACTGTGGATGGTTTGAATAACCTAGTTATTCGGGAAGTCAAAACATGCAAACTGAAACACAAGAATAATACTAATTTATATATCCCAAAAATTTTTGAGTCATATTGATTACTCATTATTCATTGTATAATGTTTCGAATAATCAACTTAATACTTGAATTAAAACAATATTCATGCCATGCTCCAAGCATGCACACTATGTTTGTCTAAACAATAACTATGCCATGCTCCAAGCATGCACACTATGTTTGTCTATGGTCCCTACTTTGTGAAATGGATCAATTGACAATATTTCAATGATGCTCATTTCACAATCCCAAATGTTTATTTCAAGTGTAAGAATTCCAAATTCTTGTCACTGCTAAACTTTCATGTAATGCAGCCTTTGTAATGTCATGGTACCAAAAGTCACAAAGACTTGACCAACGATATTACAAAATTTTCCACTGGAAATTGATAACAAAGAAATTCTAAGGAAGCGAAGTCTCAAATTCAAAGTACATTCTTTGAACATCCTTCTTGCATTAAGTTTCCTAATCTTACACAGATTTAAAAAATAACTTCCACTTATGGAAAAATTTCCATATTCCCATTTTGACTATCACTTCTGAACAAGAGTTACCTCTTCTCAGAGTATGTCAATATGGTCCTTTCCAAAATTTTAAATATACTTCCAATTGTCCATGAGCAACCAATCTTTGGTAAACCTCAGATTTTCCTCGACAATTGCTTAACCATTTTAGTCATATCCGGTTCTATTCCTTTTTTCCCTCTTAATGCCCTAGGCATTTGGAAAAATTAGAACACGAGAATATTATAGCATATGCAATCGATCCTATACCCGAAGCATATGGGATGCGATTCATAATGTCTGACATAAAGACATGATACTTGATCAGTCTTTTGCTATAATATTTCTATTTGCCATGTTCTCACAATTCGAATTATGAAGAGGGATGTCGTAATCATAATCAAATTTTGAGAACGCAATTAACACAATCTTGACTAAATTTGACTAAAATCT